GTAGTTTCATCATTTGCTTCTCACGTTTTCTCAGTTTGAACCTTTCATTTCCTTCCATCGATGGCTATTTACGATCTGCGAGATTCTGTGCCCCGAGGACTGTTTTGATAAAGGCCTTCCTGAGCTCTGTTAAAATGCAAAAGACACCAACAGTCTGTCTTTGCATCATCCTCCACATCCCTTCACAAGGAATTGTTAAAAAGCTCACATCTCAAATGGTGGTGCAGACCACTCTTTCTAAGGCTACTCCTGAAGCTCCCTGCACAAAGGACTGATCTAAAAATCCCAGTGCAGTGAACATAATGCTTTGCCTAAAATCTGAGCTTGAAGATTGCACCAACACTTTTCCCCTAGCGGTAGTGCTTTGTCCAGCTACTCAGATCTGTTCCCTTGCCTTTTCACTTCTGTTATCGGTGAACGTAAAGACAGTTACGAAGCAGAGGAGGTGATTTAGCTCATTAAGTGGTAGTTAAGTAGCTACAGTAAATGATCCAAGGATCTCTTCCATCATGAGAGAAGTCAGAGTTCGGGGTTCAACAATGTGGCTGCACAGCTATATCCATTCTCCCACAAACCATTCTTTGGGGTATAACCCATTTCTTTGACATTGCTTCTTTGATATGGGCAACCTTACTTTTCATGTGTAATTGATAAAGAATATTTTTTAGAAAGCAATGGGGTGGCATACTTGCAGCCTTGGAAGTCTGGCTTCTATCCCAGACCTGAGGTGCTGTCTGTGTGGAGTTTGCATGTTCTCCCATGGTTTGTATGGGGTTTTCTCTCCACCTTTCAGAAACATATTGGTAGGTTAATTGGCTTCTGAGAAAACTGGCCCTGGTGTGTCTGAGTTTACCTTGCAATGGACTGGCGTCTAGGGTGGACCCTCCCCTGTGCCTGTTGTTTTCCAGGTTTGGATGAAATCAATGAAGCTGAATAATAATGAAGAAAAGGGGGAAAAAAGATGCAGTCTGTAATGAAAATAATAAGGAGGAATAAAAAAGATATACATGTTTTCTTGCCATCTTTTTTTGTAATCTCGCAATCGCCACCGAGACGATTGTTGCACTGGAGTGGTAATCAGTTTCAAAATGGGCTTAGCTGGCAACACAAACATGAGGTGCAGTCAGACTCACCTCATTCGTTTGGTAATATCTTCCATGTCCAAATCCATTTTTAACATCCATTCCTGGGACTACTGCTGGAGCAGGGAGAAGGTTCGAAACAGTGCAAGCTCTGGAATTTAAAATAATGTTGCCTAAGTCTATGTGACGTAGCATCCCGAAGTTTTAAGCCAAAGATTATGATGAACATGGACGGTCCCCTGGTGCATTCATTGCTCCACAGCCCTGGTATTCTTTTTTTCTGTATGTTCACAGAATCACTGATCACAGAGTGCGAGATTCACCAAGCAGGTACAACTGTATTGTGGTCTGAGAAATATAGCTCACCATATTTTTGAAGCCGTGGACATTGTTATACCCCTGGGTACCAGATTCACGTGTTGCTGTAGATCCATGCGTGTCCTTTTCTGTGGACGCGTGAATGGCGCTCTTCATTTCAGATTTGAAAAAAGCAGACACCATTTCTAGTACTTTCACTGTCTAAATGAAGAGCAGATACGATAAACCAAACATGTGGGAGTGCAAAGAAACCCACAGACTTAAGGTCATGTCTGTCTCCTGCAAATCTAAAGAATACAGTTATGAATAATTTGGGTGTGAAATACACATAGGGTTTAGTATTTCAGGGTAGACAGAAAATGCAGAATTCTGGTAGCAGCTATCAAAACAACATTACACATCTTTACACCCGTGGAAATCTCAATACACCAAAGGCATACTGTCAACCACCTTTTTTACATTTCAGTTAAAGTATTACATTTTCATTTTTTGGGGGGCCAAGCAACAGATGTTGTCTGTGAACAGTAAAGCCTGTGTAGTCTGAACATATGGAGGCCAAGTCGTGCTCTCCTGGACCAAAACAAAGTGTTATTGTAGCAGCAGCACTTACTTTATCCTACAAATGATTACAGTTGTATTTGTGACGCACCATGCTGTGGGGATATGAAAACAGGAGTGTAGATATGACAGGGTAAAACAAACACTACAGTAGGTAGCCATAAGGTAAAGAGAAACGTGCTCCCTTACTTACAGTGCCGGAGAACAACATACCCACAAACCAAATAAAAACGACAAAAGCCCAAGCTCCAGTTTGATCTGTTAACTAGACTTCTTCAAGTCCCTTTCTATCAGTGTTACTGACAGCCACAGCTCAAACTTCAGTCACTCTGAGACTTTTCACCTCACTTCCAACACTAAAAAACTGACAGGTTCCTTAGTTCCTCTGTCCCTCAGTCTGTCTTCTCCCTTCCCTCTCGTGAATGCCCTGTATTTCCTGCTTTTAAGTTGTCACTGTTACATTACGTTGTATTACATCTTACATTGTTACATTTTATTCTCTTTTCTGCCCCTGTTTGATACAATACTGCCAGTTTTCTCAAGTGTAGTACATGCAGTCCAGTAGCACGTGACAACCAATACAGAGCAGATGAACAGATTGATGCGTATTATGAATTGTGAAGATAAAGGCTATTTGGAAACTCCAAATTCTGTTTCTTGGGTAGATGTATGGGATAACTCCACCTCAGTACTTCATTCTCTGCAGTATGAGGTTCTTTTAATACTGTAGTTATCAAATTATGTACAAACAGAATTGTGCTTGTGAGTAATAGTGTGCATCCTTCAAATTCCTCAATAAGAGAAAAAATAAGTTTTCTTTTCACTAATTCATGTTAGTGCAACTTTTAGTTACTGTATACCTAACTACCAAAAGGGTAGGTTTAAATTATCCTCACGGGGGATGAATAAAGTGTTTTGAACTGAACTGAAACAACTTCTGTTGTTTTTAATTTGCTTAAAGTGGCAAAAAACAGTCAAAAAGCAGCAGCTGAGCATTTTGTATTTCTTTAAAAAGTTCATTTTCAAAGTAAACTCTTTATTTACAATAGTTCATTAGACAAAATGTATTCCGAAAAGAAGTAATAAAATAATAGACTGACATCTAAATTTAGTACTGTTACATCCCTACATTTAGTATGTTTATTGTATATATTATACGTCTATAAAACAGATTCCTTGCCTTGCATTGTCTAGATCTGGATTAATACAGCATACACGATAACAGAATATTTGCCGTCACTTATATAGCGCCTTTTCTGGACACTCCACTCAAAGCACTCTACAGGTAATGGGGATCCCCTCCACCACCACCAGTGTGCAGCCCCACCTGGATGATGTAACAGCAGCCAAAGTGCACCAGTACGCTCACCACACACCAGCTCTCAGAGGGGAGGAGAGCAGAGGATGTCCTTGCTTCTCGTGAACAGTTATTAACAGTTTTGGGACACTTTTGACATGAGTAGAAAACATCTGTTTACAGAACATCCACTCACTAGGCGCTGCATTTCTTTAAAGCAATGACTCCGCACAGCTTTGAAAACACCAAGAACATGATTCACTTTCCACTTTTACCAAGTTGAATTCATTCATAGCTCTTCCCTGCTTCAGGAACTGCTAATCTTCTTTGGCAGATGCAACAGTGCACATTTCTTTACTGCAATACAATAAAAAAGATAAGATAAGATCATTTTATTGGCCATATACAATTTCTTGTATTAGGAATGTATCTTTTTTCACATACCCCAGCTTGCTCTCCATGAGACACACAGACAGGGAGAGAAGCTTGGGGTCAGAGCGCAGGGTCTGCGCCATTTATACGGCGCCCTTGGAGCAGTTGGGGTGAAGGGCCTTGCTCAGGGGCCCAACGGAGTAGGATTCCTCTGCCGGCCGCGGGATACAACCTGGCAACCTTCCAGCCACAGGCGCAGATCCTGAGCCACAGAGCCACCGCACCTCTTCAAAAGAGTGGACTCTTTGAAGATGAGAAGCCAAATGGATTGAATTTTCCAAAACTGGATTATGTAACATTAATGGACGCTTCTGGGACAGCTTTTGACTTTCAAAAAAGAGGTCTTCGGCTGCCTTTGATTACACATTCACAGTTTGTTTTGATCTGTTACGGGATTACATATCTGGCCGCCAACACACCTACTGCGTGGTGTAGGTCTGCGTAGCACACAGTCAGAAACAGAGCAGAAGGGTGTCTGGGATATCTACAATCGCTCACGCTGCTATGAAGAAGCTTGACTTGGTATGATGTATGAGTGGGATGTGTTTACAGCCAGGACTTTAAAGACCTCTGTTCTGGTTTAATCATCTTTTGCACGGAAGAGAATCAGCTCGGGTATTGAGGTCTAGTGGTACAACAAATGCCAATACGCGCATTCCCACAGATTCCACAGACCGATTGTGCTTGACTGGATGCTAATCTATTTCCAGTCACGCAAAATCAGTCTGGGACAATTCTGATCAAACCCATCCGGTGTCTCATACTTGATATTGGAGATGCTGCTAAGTACACTGACGGTTGCCAAAGACACAGCTTACTTGAAATGCAGAGAGTGAAATGAAAGGACTGAATGCTGCCTAAAATGATTAGATGAACAGCGGGAAGGAATAGATCATAACAATTTAATTAACAGATTGCATTGTCGAATTAGCCCATTCGGGTTTTGGAGGAACTGGGCATCACACAGTCATTTCCCCTCCGAATATGTGGAATTAAAAAAAACATTTCTTGCTTATCGTGATTCGGAGACTGGGGTTGTACAGTATGTCCTTTTTTTCCCTGTTTCTTCAAGAACCCTGCAGGCCCTAGTCTCTTATATGTTTGCCATTATTTCCTCCTGCTGCCATTAAAGACTAAATGAACCTACAGTCCTCAAAAACGTTAGAAAAAATCTCTCAGCACTTGCAGCTAGGTCATTCACTGTTTATTTGCGTGTCATTGTATACTCCCTTCTTCCAATTAGCACAGGCACACAGTGTGATTTCATCAATTTAGGCGATTCGTAAATTAAATTTCGTTTCTTCTTCTCCCAGGACCTACTGATCTCAGCATGAAGAGGCAGTTAGCTCCGGGCTCAGGCTCCTCCAGCAGCACCGGTTCGCGGCCCCAGCTCAACTTCACGGAGATCAACGCCGTCCGGCAGCTGATCGCCGGCTACCGGGAGTCCGCCGCCTTTCTCCTGCGCTCAGCGGACGAGCTGGAGAGCCTGATCTTGCAACAGAACTGACCTCCGCCGGCTAAATCCGTTTCCCTCTGGCCGGCCACGGGCTGCGCTTTAAGTTTCCGATTGTCAAAGTCGCTCGCTCGACTCGCCGCGGCGACGCCGTTCCGTCCCCGCCGGCCGTTTCGAATCGCTGGGCTCGGTGACGTCATCAGGTACGGTAACTTATCGCTTAGTCGCTTCTGTTTTCGGATTTCCGCCCTGTTAACAAAAGTACCTGCTCGATAAGTGATGCAAGTGATTATTTTTTTTTGTTTTTTTTTGTTGTTGTTGTTGTCATGTGTGGGGTTGTGGTTGGGTCGGTGGTGGTGGGGAGTTTTGAACAGAAAATGTGAAATAAGGTCTGATATGCACATGCAATATTATTGAAGGGTGCTACTGACTGTTTTCTTAAGTGTACCTTTTATAAATACAGTGTTTTATTGCGTTAATGTATAGTAGTGAATATGTGGGACCAACTTTGTGAAAAACGGTTGTTTACTTAACCCTCTAGGGGACCATTAATTTCAGATATTGCAGCCATTGTACCGCCGTGTGACTTTTGACCTGTTTTTAAGACTAAAAAAAGGGGGAAAATCACATTAAAGACAAACGAAGCTCTGGAGGAGGCTAAAAGCCTTTCTAATTACACATCGCCGCAAAAGCGTAAAACACTTCTTAAAAAGAATATTAACCATCTGTACAGAAAAGATTCACCAAGCCAGTCCCTCCGTTTCAGAGATTGCCCGGAGTTTCTCACCATTCTTTTTAAAAAAAATGTATATCACGTATTTATGTAAGGGATAGTCTTGCAACACTTATGTACATCACCATTTTGTTCGCATTTACGAATAGCAAGATGACACTTTCAATAGTTTAAAATATCTAGCATTGAAATGCACCAGCCTTCTGTGATGACATTTTTTGGTGCGTCAGTGCCTACGCTGGAGGACTGAGCTGGTAGATTTCATCCTGGGCACTCTAGTCCTAGTGTGTTTGTTACACATTGTTTTCTTTTTAAAAATATTATTCAGCTAAATTAATATTTCCCATGACGCCATTCTTACAGTATCTCTTTGTATCCCAGAGCATACTGTAACTACAGTACTTTGTCATCTACCTTTAAATTCTGGATAAGCCTTTATTGCGAATATCTCCATAGTTCCAGTGTTTAAGGCGCGATGGTCCATCTTTAAAGTTGACACACCGTTCCTTCAGTTCTGTCTGACTGCCAAAATATAGGCTCCGCCAGAGCTTTGACTCAGCAGAATCCAGTAGTGTAAAACAATCATTAACAGCCACAACGGAAAAAAAAAAACGTTCCCACTGGGTTTTGACTGAAGTGTTGTCTTGAGCCATTTCTATAAAATGAATCCAATTTCGAGAAAATGTACTACTTTGGAATTGACCTATAACAAAATAAATGTCATTACATCATTTCTTCCTGGAACCTTTTGAAGAGAAGGCACAGTTCTTTTCCAGAACGTGTGGGTGTTCTTTCTGTGAGGTGAATCTCGATGTATTTAATTACAAGTTCAAGAATAAAGCAGAAACACAAAAAAGGCAGCGTTGGAATTGGTGAAGTTTACTATATATCAAAAGAGAAATATCAGGATTATAGGATTCAAGTTTAATTTAGTTCAAGTTCACCCCACCCCTCCAGACAGTGTATTTTGTACTGATAAGTATATTATTGGAGATCTTTTATTTCCAGATAGAGAAATAGACAGACATGTACTGTAAATGGAATTGAATAGGTGAAGGTCTCGGAACATCACAGTGAAAAGAATGTGTGTCAAGCCATTGAGAAGCGGGAAAGGGGGTAAAACTTGCTCTCCAGTAGAACATATTGCAGTAAATACTGTATGGCCAACAGATGCGATATCATGGTTCTGCTCTTAATGTTGTGCAGATAGTCTTAATGACGATAAATGCAAATTCTTGTACTGAAGGTAAGTGTACTGTGTGAAACAGCCCCTCAGCATCTGCACCAAGACTATTATTTTTCCTTAGAAATCAGTGCGGTAGTAAGGCACTATCCAGAGGTACACACACCTGTGAAGGTTTTGTGTAAGACATATCAAAGTGAAGCCATGGTTTTTGTCAGTTTTTCTTTTCCTGACAGGCATAGTACACGAGCTTGCTCTGTGATTGCTGCAGCTTGGTTTTTTTTTTTATATTTTTTTTCCTCTTTTTGGCATTTTTTTTTCCTGTTTATTTTCCTGTGGGATGTATTATATTGAATGTTGCAAGGTTGCATTTGACAATCTGAAATCTTTGCACTCTTCTGTACATTTTTCAATTACAAACTGCAATTGAACCGAGGCTGTTTAATGCTTCTTAAGTAATTTATATATAGTTTCCATGCTAAATTCGGTACAAACCTGTTGCAACTGGATGCAGTTCTCACAGTTTTTGTAGATGTACTTTATGGGCTGTAACATATTTTTATACTGTTGGGTATATAAATATTATTGATGTTTGGTTTGAGTTCAGTAGAAAGATTTATTATATGTTGTGAAAGTATTTTTGTTCAGCTTTTTGTGATGGAAAATTGACCTTTAAAAAACTAATTTTTACAGTGATGTTGCTTAACAGATTGTTTCTACGTGCGTATTGAAATTTGCCTTATTACATGTTGAATCCAGTTTAATTTTTTTGTAAAAACAAAACCTGTTATGATGGCAATTGATATAAATATAAATATTGTTGTTTCTGTTTAATGATATCTGACTATGATTGTGACAAAGTAATGTGCACTTTCTATTGTATTTGTGGACACCTTCATGCATTTTCTAGTGTTTCTTACATTTGTTGTTTAAAGTAAACTAAATGAGAAACTTTGTGATACTGTTGGTGAAAATGTGAAAAGTAAAATGAGATACATGTTGTTGAATTTTCAATAAATATTTTAAAAACCCTGGTTCTTGAATGCATGTTTTGCAGGAAGCTGACTAAAATGAAAAGATTAACAGAAAGCATTTTTCAATTCGACAGTAGATTCTGCGACTCTTAGATTTCCCTTAGCTGATAAGTTGCTTCACTTAGTGTGGTTACAATGTATTATTTTGAATTAAAAGTCCTGAGCGCTGGCAAGCAGTGTCTTTTTTTAGTAAAAACGTAGAGATGCCGCTCTCCCAGTTAAGTTGTTTACAAATGATGGTTTTACAGATTCTAGGAAGAGGTCAAGCCCGGCTCTCACCCACTTCCACTCTCCTGCGCATACTGTAAATACCTCAACAACAAAACCCCCACTTGGACAGCTTCTCTCACACCCCTCTCTCTACCCTTGGCGTTGCTCCCTGGCTCATTCCTCCTGAAACAAAGGGGTGGGACAGCTTCATTCCTAGGGCCAGGTGAGTTAAGGCAATTAAACAACTAATCCTAATTTAAACTCTACTGTACTCTGCATTAATTAGGATTAGGGCCAAACAAATGTATACTTACTGTATGCACGAGATTCTCTTTGGTAAGTACACACACTTCAGAGTTTGGGAGAACAGACAGTTCTAAGTGTGTTCATGGGGAGGTGATAAAAGTAACTTGCTGGTGCCCTAAATAGAGTGAAGAATAACATTCTAGAGCAGATGTCTGTCTTAACTCTTTATTCTGAGGAGGTGGAGATTCATAACAAAGGGCTTGACTCTCACTGCAGTTATAAATTCCGAGCTCTTCCTGTAATGACTCAGCTTGCCAGGAATTCAATTGCAGGAGCTCAGTATTTTCCGACTGCTGGCCGAGTCTGCTGCAAAGAAGTGAGAAATGGCTGACCGGGAGACTACAGACTGGATCAGGAGACAGGGCAGGAAGAACATCCAGATTCCTGCAAGCTTTTGCTCTTTGGGTCTTGGGTTTCAAGTCGCAGGGACTGGGGTTTCTGGTTATTCTGGTTTGCCAGTAGCGCGTCTTAAAGTTAGGGCTCACCACAGCAGGAGCTCAGTAACTCAATGTCAGAGCACCTTCCTTGTGGCGTTTCTGGAATGAAATAGGGGATTTGAATTGATTCATTCCTGAGATGACTGGGTGCTGGCTTGGCAGGGGGAAGGTGGAACTGAAAGGGGGCCTGAGCGTGTTTGAATCGGAGCCCCAGGAGACAGGCGCTCACTCGCGGGAAAGCTGGAGTCTGCCTGGGCTGCGAGCTGCTCAGACTCTCGGATCACAGACTACCCGGTTAGGTGGACATGAGTTATGAGCATCGAAGTCATGAGACTAATGATCACTTTCGATTTCAATACATTTAAGACCGATTTCCTTAAATCACACCCTTCAAAACGTTCTCTTGTTGCCTAACTAATTGTTTTGAATTGGGTATGTACTCAATGGCCTAAAATTAACTTGTGAAGCTAATCTATGTCTTATCTATATATGGAGTTGCACAAGAATCCTTATAGATGTACAAGAATGTCTCTGTGTAAATGAGGCTCTAGTTCTGTGTAAACAATGTCATTATTTAAATTGCTGAGATAATGGATGCAGTCACTGAAAGTAATTGCATAATTACTTCATCCATGAACTGACAACTTCATTATTAGAAATTTATGACATTCAGGGATATAATGACATTTACTTTATCTCCACTTATCAATGACAATTATGCGTGTTAAAAGAATACACAGAAACGGTGAAGTATTCTCTTAGATACTTGAATCTGTATGGATGCTCAAACAGAGATTGTGACCTCAGTCTTATAATTCCAGAACTGAATTTGTATGT